ASYCCTGGAGAAAATAATACGAGCYGCAGAGCTACAYAGAGAAGGTKCAATCTTCTATATGACTGTAGAGCTGCTGGCCGTTGATAACTGATATCATTGACCTCAACATTCTCCTCGTTAGTTCTGCTTTCCCTTGACTGGATAAGGAAGCGAAGCAAGGACCTTAGTGGTAAACAAGGACAAGACGAAGTATTGCCTGTCATCAAACAATCAGACGTCGCACTTGCAACTTGGCTCACACCTCACTGTGGACAATCATAACTTTGAAGTTGTTGATGATTTCGGCTATCTTAGAACCAACAACAATATCAGCTTTGAAATTCAACGCAGAAATACGCGGGTTAACAATTGCTACTTCGGACTGAGTAGGCAATTGAGAAGTTAAGTTCTCCCTCTCGATAAGAAAATACTTTAAAACTCACTCACTCATCATCCTCGTCCTGCAATATGCTGCAGAGGCATGGACGATCACAACGGCCTTARGACTGTTCAAGAGAGAGGTTTTGCTTAAGATTCATGGTCCTTTGCGCATTGGCAACGGTGAGTACGACAGTCGATGAAACAATGAGCTATACGAGATATACGGCGATATTGACATAGTTCAGCGAATCATGAGACAGCGGTTGCGCTGGCTTGGTCATGTTGTCCGAATGGAAGAGAACACTYCAGCTTTGAAGGTTTTCGATTCGGGATCCACCGGTAGAACCGGAAGACCTCCATTCTGTTGGAGAGACCAGTGGAAGAAGGACCTGGCAGAACTTGGTATCTCAAGTTGTCGTCAAATAGCGAAAAGAAAAAATGACCGGCGCGCTGCTGTTAACTCGGATATAATCACGTAAGTGGTGTCTACCCTAGTACCGATATCGGCGATTCCGACAAAAGTGAAAGTTTCAGATTGACATCTCAAGAACGTAGGAAATAGTTCGCGTGTATACAGACAGACATACGGATAGCCGGATAGATAGATTAGATATAAGTCTTCCGAAGTTTCCTTCTAATTCTTAMAAACTYCGTCACAAACATAATTTACGCTGTTCAGGATATAAAAAAATATTAATTATAATTCGCTTACAAATCATTTACGAGCTCATCGCCGCGTATGGTGACTAAATTGCGTAGGAAGTGTAGCGTGAGCAACTGTGGTGACTTGACCACCTTCAAATAGCCAGTGATCTCGGTGATGTTTGCAAACGCGTTGTCCAAGTCGGTGATTTTGGCTGCAAGAAATGCAATGAATTATAATTTTTTCCAAACTCCACTTTTACACTCCAACTTACTCTTTATATCCGTGAGTTCGATGATGAGTGAGCCATTTATCTTACTACAGCCTTGTAGGCTCTCCGCATCAGCTGTTGTGTGTATGGTGTATGTTCCAATGCATTGCAATTTACACATTTTGTTTCCGTCTGCATCGACTGTAGTCAAATAATTTCTAGGACATTTTTCCATACAAATACGCGCAAACGGGATTGAACCCAATTGTCGGCAGTTGGATGCGCTGATGCAATCGCGATCTTGATGCTGAAAGGATTTCGATATATTCTATAAGTATATTTATGTATATGCATATTTTTGACAATAAAATAATATATATTTCGAAGGATAAACCTATTCCCGGAATGGACCGGTACAGAGGTACTTAGCAACTACGACAACGACATTCGGGTAACCGGAATGGACTTAGATTTTTATGCGGCCGAGTATTGACAACTCGGCGTCATGCCTCGAAATTGCATTAGGAATTTTGATGCTGTCGCTACAACAACAACAACAACAACAACAACATCAATGGAACCAAGACTTCGGACGGTTCCCAGATTTTTATCCGTACAAGTACTGTCAACTCGACACGATGTCTCGAAATTTCTACATCAGGAATGTTTTCTGCCGCTACAAAAACAACAATATCAATGACATTAAAACTTCGGTCGATCTAAAAAGTCGATCTGTTATTTTACAGAGTTGGAAAATGGAATTTGGGCTTTCCGATGCAGTTTTGAAYTGTTGATACTTAACATGGTGTCAATATGACTAAATTTGGTTCTGGTTGTTGAAATAACTTCCAAACAAATGAAGCATTGTTAGAAMCTGCTAATGATCACAGTAGCTCTGTCAGTGAACCGACTTCACACTTTAATTACGCGGTCGAACAGCGATTTAGTTTGAACAGATTCAAGAGAGTTATGAACTTAGAAGTCAATCCAGTTTACAGAACACAGAATAAGAGCCATAAAAGGAAAAAAAAAAAAATAATATAAAGCTTAGAACTGTTTTCGCCTACCTGATAATAGTTCTGTGGACACTTGTCGACACATTGGCGCTCCAATTTCAGATTCGCACACAAACTGCAACGTTTGCCATCGCAATCGCTCAAACAGTTAGGATCACAACAATTACYATTGTCATCACAACCACGTAAGCCGCATTCTGTGCGACAATTGACAACATTATTCGTAGCCGGACGCTCTTGTGCTATATCATAGCCCCAGCAATGCTTACGCAATCTATTCGGCAGATCTTCTTCGACGAGAATTTGATTATTGGTGCGCTCACATTGCGTACAATGATTGAACAACTTATTATTCTACAACAAAAGCCAAATAAAAATAAAGTAAAAAAAAAAAAAATTATTAGCTTCACCCAAATTGGAGCTATTGGAGACACACCTTATGCCAGAAATGCTGCTGTGAACTATTGCCCAGCAACTGCACCCAATTCACCGTATCCACATAGCAAAGTGATGGATTCGTTTCGATCCTAATATTACCAGCCTGTATGCGCAGCAGCGAGCCGAGACCCAAATAGCGTAAATCGCGATTCTCATATAYGACCAATGCGAATTCGTCGAAGAGCAAACGACGACCGCGTATGATGCGCAAATGTGGAAATATATGATGCAACGAAGGTAGACCATGCACGCGATGCACC